ACTTAATGATTTCATTCATTTAAATAATTCAATCATATTATATCAAGTGATAATTGAAAAGTGACATTATTATGATGAACAATATCTAAAACATTCATTTACTAATTTACTAATTGATGAATGTATATCAATTAACATTAATATTATATCATAATCTTTAAAATAATTCAAATGATTTAACTTCTATCATGATTGTATTTCCATATTCAAAACTATCTGATTGTGTATATTCTATAATTTTAATACATTCAATTCTTTTTATTTTAAATAAGATGAATAACTCACACTGTACCACATTACTTCATTAAATAATCATCAATAATCAAATATTTCATCAACATAAATAAGAATTGTTTAAATAATATGAAATAACAATGATGAATAAACATCTAAATGAAATGAATAAAACAAAAGAAGAAGAAATGATGAATATAAAGAATAGAAATAAGAAAATTGAATAAAATAGATATAAAATAATATAAAGAAGATATAAAAAGAATAAAAGAAGAAATAGAAAAGAAGAAAAAGAATAATAAAAGAAAAGATGATAAATAAGATAAAGAAATAATAATAAAAATAGAATAAAAGAAAGAATAAGAGAAATAAAAAAGATAAACATAAGTATAGAATAAGAAGATATAACAGAAATAAAAATAATAAAAGAAATAAGAAAGATAAAAAAGAAGAATACAATAAATACATAAAAAAGAGAAAAAGATAAAGAATAAATGAAGATAATAAAGAAAAAAAAATATCAATTAATAGATATATCCATAATTGGATTTTCTTCATATTGAGAAGTGATTGTTTCAGTTTCTTCAATATGCTCTATTTCTACCATAGAGTTCATTTCTAACATACGAGAATTAGAAGGTTCCTCTTCTAATGTGTTGCCAGTGTTGAATGTGTAGAACATTAAGTATTTCATGTTTTTAATAATGATTGTTCGTAGTATTTTGGTGAAGTTGATTTGTAATTTTAGTGTTTTTAATCTTCTTACTGTTTCTTTATGTATTAATTTATTGATAATATTACAGGTATTATTTCTACATAAATTAATTCTCTTCTTTGTCTTAACTTCTCTTGTAATTATTTGTATTTATTTATTTTGTAAATATAATTTAATTGGATGTTTCTATCTTGACATATGGCGACATCAATAATACATCATTTTTTTTCTTTGACGTTTTGATAATATATATCTGGTATTCTAACATTAAACGAATGGTCACTAACCAATAAATCTTTATTGTAAGTTATAACCATTTCATTATTATTAATACATTTATGTTGTGCATTAAAATCTATTTCATCAAATTCATTAAAATGAGTAAATAATATATGTTTATATATTTGTTTACATACATAATCGTGTTTTGATATTTGATTATTCTTCATTACAGGACATCCTAACAAAATATGGCTAATAGATGGAATTGTGATAGGACAATGGTTACAATATTTTAAAGCATCACAATTGAGTATTTTAGATTTAATACTTCCTGTCATAATTACTCCTTCTTGCATCTTTACTACTTGGAGGAATGCATTTCTTTTTATATTTAATGATCTCCATGTGGCTACTGATAATTTATTATTATTAAATATACAATTTACATTTATTATATATTCACTTCATTTCTTTTCTTTCCATTCATTTAAATATCTTTCATTTATTTTATTTGTTACAAATTCAAATACATTGTTTACATCATGTTTTATTTCATTTATTTGTATTATATTCATTAATTCATTGAAATTAATATTCTTACCAAATACATTCTTCATTCTTTTAATTATTCCATTTGGATTCTCTTTTACTGCCTCTATCATTTCTCTTATTTCTGTATTTGATCTCCATTTATATTTTAAATATATTCTTAATAATTCCTTACCACATTCATCTCGTGCTGACATTAATTCCATTCGTAATTCATTTATTGTAACATATAATCTACTTTTAGGGATGTTTCTACTGTATAATTTGAGTTTGACTAGTGATTTCTTATTTATTTATCTATATTCTCAAACTCACAAAGTTTCCATTTGACAATACAGAATCCATATCTTAATTTGGAGATTATATCATTATTAATCTTTCTAATTGTATTGATGCTGCTATATTTCATATTATTTAATGATGATAGAATAGAAGATACATCATTTAATATTCATGTATAATATTTATTAATATTTATTTTATCTCTTATTTCAATACCAAGATATTTATAAGGGTTATCATTAGTTACTCTTGGTAATTCAGCTAATTCTCCATTTATCTGACCATTGATATTATTCATTATCCCACTCTTTTCTATATTTATTTTTAATCATATTCTATTAAATATTTCATTTGTTAATTTGTTGGCTTTTTCAATTTCTTCGAGGCTGTTAGTTATTATCTTTAAATCGTCCATATATAATATGTGGTTTAACTGGACTTGTTTTTCTTCTCCATTCATTTTAATAGATAGTTTATTAATTTGTTTATCTAATTATTTAGATAATATATCAATAAATAATACAAACAATAATGGAGATAAACTATCATATTGTATTATTCCTCTTTCTACATTAATTATACCAACATTTTTTTGATTATAATATAATTATAGTTGTGTAATATTTAATATATATAATATACTTTTAATTACAACTAATGGGATGTTAAAATAAATTAAACATTGTTTAACAAATTGATGATTAATACTATCATATGCTTTAGAGACATCATAATATGTTTCTACCCACTTCCATTTAGCCTTGATTAATAACTATTGGATTATAGTATTGTATATTAATCCTTCTTTTGATGCATATGTGTATTTTTTACATCAAATTTGATTTTGTGATAATTGTTTTTCAATTTGAT